TTTTTTTTTTAAACGATTGCTATGTTCCAGGTTTGGCGAAGCCATCTTGAGAACAAACGATGTCAGCTCCCCTTTGCTGAAGGACTCCCGATGTTAAGGGCCTTTTCTCTGCTGAGTCAGACTCCCCAGGGCTGAGTTCGAATGCTGAGATAATGGTTCCCCCAGGTCTGACCGTGTGCCTCCCTCTCTCCAGACCCCAGTCCTGTGCCCTCGTCCAGCAGCACCTACCATGCCATCATCGGCGGGATCGTGGCGTTCATCGTCTTCCTGCTGCTCATCCTGCTCATCTTCCTCGGACACTACTTGATCCGGCACAAAGGTCAGAAGCATGAGGGGAGCTTGGGTGGGTTGGGAGATGGGTCAAGGGCATGCAGGGAGAAGAAGCCTACACCAAGGGCCTGCAGGTACTCAGTCGGCCCCTTGGAGAGTTTGAAGGGAAAAAAAAATAATGCAGTCAAGCCCCTGAGAGCCAACCCTGAGTGATCACTGAGCACCACCAACTCCACAGTGAAGCCCGATGGCTCGGTGATCATCCAAGTAAAATCCAACCTTCCCACTCAGACACCTGCTCCAGGCTGCCCTGCCTCCAGGGTCTCTGCTGTCAGACGGAGAGCGCCTGAAATGACTCCATCCCACATTTTCCTGTACTCTCATCCTTTCTGGTTAGCCTCTTCTTCCTTCTCTGAGCTCCTCACTCCTCCGCCTCACCCCATCTCTTTTCTCCTCTCTTTTGTCGTCACTGATGCCGGGAGTTTTGTTTTCCCTCCTATATCCACGCCCGCCTCTTCCATTCCTTCCACTCAGACCTCCTGCCTTGGTATTGTTCCAGCCAGTAGCCTAGCTGCATGGGCTGGTGCCCTGTGAGCCAGCTCTCAACTGCATTGCACACGGAGGAGCTGCTCACAGCCAGGGCACAGTGGGCCACGCCTGCATTCCCTTTGGCTTGGGTGGCTGAGGCAGGAAGACTACAATTTTGACACCAGCCTCTTAATGTAAGGACGTCCTAAGCAACTTGGCGAGACCCTGTCCCAAAATACAAACTAAAAAGGTTGGGGATGTAGCTCAGTGGTAAAGCACCTCTGAGTTCCATCTCCAGTATGCAAAAAAAAAAAAAAAAAAAGCTACTCCTAAGTTGAGATAGCAGTTCCTCATCACCAGTCTGTACCTGCACATATATATGCTCGTGCACCCCACACACACACACACAGACGCACACCTCTTTCTCTTTTTCTGTCTTGTCTATATTATAGAGGAGATTCTAATGAATCAGGGCAGGATTCGGGATTCATTGGGGTGTGGTCAGGGGAGGGATGCTGGGAGCAAAATAAATGCAAAGGAGGTGAGGTAGGGGGCAGAAAGCTCCAGGTGAGAGAAGACATGACAGAAGCCTTGTGCAAGTGGGTGGGTGGGCGGGAAAGTGGAAGTGGGCAGGGTGGACTGCGGAGGCCCAGAAGCCGCTCCTGAGACGGGGAGCCTCTTTCTCCACACAGGAACCTACCTGACGCACGAGGCCAAGGGCTCCGACGATGCCCCAGATGCGGACACGGCCATCATCAACGCAGAAGGCGGGCAGTCAGGAGGGGATGACAAGAAGGAGTATTTCATCTAGGGGCACCTGCTCACCTCCTGCAACCCCCCACCAGGGGCCCCGTGGGGACTGCTGGGGCCGTCACCAACCCGGACTTGTACAGAGCGACCCCAGGGCCGCCCCTCCCGCTTGCTCCCCAGCCCACCCACCCCCCTGTACAGAATGTCTGCTTTGGGTGCGGTTTTGTACTCGGTTTGGAATGGGGAGGGAGGAGGGCGGGGGGGAGGGGAGGGTTACCCTCAGCCCTTTCCGTGGCTTCTCTGCGTTTGGGTTTATTATTATTTTTGTAACAATCCCAAATCAAATCCGTCTCCAGGCTGGAGAGGCAGGGCTCCTGGGGTGAGGAAAGCAAAAAACAAAAACAAAAACAAACAAACAAAAAAAAAAGCGCAAAACGAAAAAAAACAAAATCCAAAAAAAATTAATAATAATAAGGAAGAAAAGAAAAGAAAGCCTGGACCGCTGGAGGAGAATGGAGGTGGGAGGGTAGGAAATGGGGAAGGAATAGGGCAGGTGTGGAGGGTGGGGCTCTCCCCAGCCCTCCCCCCTCCATTCCCCCAGCAGAGGCGTTTCCCAGACTTCAGAAACCCAGGAATGGGAAAGCTGTGAGCAGGGGCTGGCGGTGGCTTTTCCTCTGTGAGCCATGAACAGCTGTGTCACCTGGACAGGGAGACAGGTGCCGGTGACCCTGAAGCTCTCCCTCCTATCGCAAAGAGGAAGGGGTGAGCGGAGCGGAACAGGTCTCTGGGAGATGTAGGGACCCAGGGCTTTACCCCTGCGAGGGCATGAGCCCCTGCCAGGAAGGGTAGATCTGCAGAGGAAGGATGGATGGTGGAAAGAGCCCTGTCCACCCCTCTCCTCTCACGATGAATGAAGCCAGGCCTCGGGGGACAGCAGAGCCCGGCTGCCCTTCCTAGTCCCAGCAGCTGTGGGAGAGGCGCTGCTCTGGGGCCTGAACTGCATCTGCTTCCCCCGGCTGAGGGCTCCCTCACTCTTACCGACCACCCTGGACTGTTGCACGGCAACCGCTCCTCTCATGGCATTGCTCGGCAACTCCGCCTCCATCTTGTGCCACCCTGTGCCCCTTCCTGTCCCCTATACCAGCCCTTGGTCCTTCCTCCCTCAGCAGCCAGGCAGACATAACAACAAAAATACTAAAAGGAGCTTCACTGCACTGAGCTGTTTCCTGCCCAAACTAAGGGAATAATGTGAACTCTGTGCGCATGTGTGTGTGTGTCACTGTGTGTAAATGTGTGTGGGTGTGTATGTGCTGTATGTGCCTGTGTGTCTGTGTGCATGAGAAACAGAGAGGGATGGAGGAGGAGGAGGGCCAAGGACCCGGGGTCCTGGGCAGGTGGACGGGGCATGGAGCTTGGAGAGGAGGGCTTTGGGAGTGGAGGAGACCTGGTCAGGGTTTGTACCTCACCTGGGATGTTGCTCCATCGGGTCTTTTCCATGCTACCCCCCAATGCCCGTCTGTTTCAGAGAAAGCAGTCCCGGGATGTGTTTTTGCCCAGCTGTTCATCTCATCCCTCCCTGAAACACAGAGCATCCGGCCCCTCCCTCAGCATCCCACCTCCAAGCCCTGGAGTCAGGGTCCCAGCCTTTGCTATGCACTCCACAGGCCTCTCCTTGGCACTGACCCTGGATTCCCAGCTGTGGATATCCATAGGTCTGGGTCCCCACCCCTGCTTGGGGTTTTCGGTTTTTCCTCCTGTGGCCAAGCTGGCTGCTGTGGAGATGAGGCTGCTCACCCTCCTTGTGCTGCCAGGCCTGCCCCCCACCCCTCAGACCCCGGATGCTCTTGGCCATTCCTCTCCCCCTCTCCAGCATGTCCTCCCTGCTTTGACAACGGGGCGTGCAAAATGGGACATCTGCAATCCAGCAGGTCGACCCACTCCTTCAGTTCAGGTAATACCTTTGTGAATCTTCCAGCCCCCGGTTAGGGCCCTGGGCACAGCAGGCAGCACCCCCACCCCCTCACCTAAGCCAGGGCCCCCTCCTCTTTCAGCAGCAAGGGAGCCTCGGGCCCCAGGTCTCTTGGGCTTCCTGTCTCCCGGCACCCGCTTTTGGGAAAAAAAAAATGATTTTTCCTCTTCGAGCTGAACCACTCTGTCCATATAACACAGAAGCCATATTTGTACGGGGGGCGGGGGGAGCGGGGCTGTTGTGCTGTGTGTGTCTGTCCATGGGGGGGAGGGGGGCAGGGAGCAGGGAGGGGATCGTGTATCTTTATAATCTTTCTAACTCTCCTGTGCTAATCTCAGAGGGACCACCCTCAATATATCTGGATTACCCGTGTCGTCCCGCTGCCTCCTTTCTGCGGCTCTCACCCTGCAGGGCTGCCAGTAGCCAAGGGCTGTTCCGGAATCCCTTGCACCTGGCACCTGCCATCTCCAGGGGCTGCCGTGTCCTTGCCGTGTTCTCTCGAGAGCCTCTATGGTCTGGAAACAGGGGAGACGAGTGTCTTCACCCCCTTTTGCTGGGTCCTCCCTTTCCAGAGAGGGTTCGGGGTGGGACATCCGATTGTCCCCCCAGTCCTCTGTCTGGCACTTGGAGGCGTCCTCAACACTGTCCAGGAAGGAGAGTGACCCGATCATGGCCAAACTTAACTTTCCAGCCCTCCTCCTGTTCAACTGAGACCCCGTACCCCCGGGAGATCATGGAGGCATTTCTACCAGGTCTGAGGTGTTTTGTCCCCAGGTACCCCTCCGTGTGACGGAGATAAAGGTCCTTGACAGAACTGGAGTTAAGACCTTCCATGCTTTCTTGAAAAAAATGGATCCCAGTGTCCCCTGTCCAGCTCCTGTCTCACTGTTCTGACGTGGACGTTCTGTGACCCATGCTTCCCCAAATCCAGGCTACCACGCCCGCCCTGAAGAAACCAAATGCAGAAAGGGGGTGACGAAATAGCAGAGATCCTGGGAAAGCAGCGAAGGCGGGCCCACCAAGGAGAGCCGTGGGCTCAGGAGCATCTGCCTGCAGGGAAATGCCCTGGGTTTCTGCCAGCCAGGGAACTAGCAGTTCCACTCCCCCCTGTCCCCCAGAAGAAACCTTACTTATTGTGAGATGTCAGGCCAACGAAGCAACTCCAGAACCCTTCTGTCCCCAACAGAAACATGAGTAGAGATGATCCCATGGGGTAAAAATATGGTGTCTCGTTGTCCCCAAGAGCCTTCCTTGAACATGGCAGACCAAGCGCTCTGCCTGGTGTGGAAGAGACACTCACTGAGCCCATAGGTGGTGAAGCCCATGCTCCGTCAGTCCCCAGAGGAGGGTCGCGATTCAGCCTTGACAGCTCCTTCAGTCCTGCTTCCCTCTCACACCGGCACACCACGCCTCAGACAGCCATTCACACTCCCCAGACGCTGCCAACACCTATCACACACTCAGATGTGGGGCACATGGCTACATCACACACACACACACACACACACACACACACAGGTAAATCATTCTACCCCCCCCCCCCCGTAATACACACAAACAGCCCCCACCAAAATGCATACCCCGTCCCGAGGCTGGACAGATCCAACCCCAAGCACCGTGCACACACCTTCCCACACACCCGTGGCTTTGGAACTCTCTCCTTGGAGCCCGTCCAAGGGGCTGGGCAGCACTGAGGTCATCTGCTGCCGTGGCTCTCCCGCTTCCCAGCTCTTCTCTTATCTCTGCCTCTCACGCCGCCCCTGGCCGTCTCCTTTCTTCCTTCCTTGTGCTTGAAGAGTCTCCACTTGCTGGAAAGCCCCCAGGTTTCTCCCTTTCCATCTTCGGGAAAACGCCCCCTTTCTGGTCCTGGCCGTGATGCTTTCCTGAGACTGTCTTGACCCGCCAGACCCAACCTCAAAACAGGAAGCCCGGGGCCAGGGCCCCCCATGTGGACCTCGGGCTCAGGCAGGCAGTGGGCGTGGGGGGTAAGGCTTCCTGAGCGCTGCCCCCGGGGCCCTGCCCAGAGCCCGAGGGCCTTCATTAGGCCTCAGCACTTATCTTGGAACCACAGCTGCAGACAGAGTGTCCCAGCCCTGCTCTCGGCCTGCCCTGAGCGCACAGTGCCATGGGGAACTGCCTGCCCCGGGTGAGTGGGAGAGCCCCTCCGCACTGCCTGTCCCCTGGCCCCATGGCCCTGGGTGAGCCCCCAGCTCCTTCCTTTTCTCGTGGTCTCTTATCCCCCTCCTCGCTCTGTCTCCTCTTAGCAATCTGCTTCCTTCTCTCCTCCTTACCCCAGTCTCCCCTGACCATCTTTTTCCTTTCCCTTCATTTCTCAGCCAGTTCCATCCAGGTCCTGGATGACCCTGCTGCCCTCTGCCTTCTGTTCCTCCGGTCCTACCCCTTCCCTGGCTTTTCCACACCCTGTCCCTGCTCGGGCTATTCAGCCTCCCTCGGCTCTCCTTCTCCACCTCCCTTCCCAAGTCCCCGAGGTGCCAGGAGGCTCTGGGTGGGGTTCCCGGATGCTCTGATGGCCCCCTCTGCTGCGTGTTACCCTCCAGGTGGAATCCTCCCTCGCCGAGAACAGAAGTCAGTTGTTTTTTGAAGACTTTGCTTGGAATTATTCCTACGGTGAGGAATCCTACGGGGACATCTACATCCCGGACGCTGTCGCCCCCTGCCACTCGTGTAACCTGCTCGATGACTCCTCGCTGCCCTTCTTCATCCTGGCCAGCGTCCTGGGCATTGTGGCTAGTGGCGCGGTCCTCTTGGCACTTTGCAGATCTCCCTTCCACTGGCGGCTCTGCCCCAGTTGGCCCGTCCTGGCCCAGCTGGCTGTGGGAAGCGCCCTCTTCAGCACGGCGGTGCCCATTCTGGCCCCAGGGCTAACCAGCGCCCACAACCCTACCCTGTGCCACCTGGGCTACTGGCTCTGGTACAGCTCGGCCTTTGCCCAGGCTCTACTGATAGTGTACCACGCCTGCCTGGACCCTAACCTGGGGACAGGCCACACCTGGGGTCTCACTCTCGGCCTCTCCGTGGGGCTCTGGGGAATGGCTGCTGTATTAGGGCTGCCAATCACCCTGGCCACGGACACGTCCCATGGCCTGTGCACCCTGGCGTCCAGCAGGGGCCTGGGGACTCTGCAGTCCATACACGCTGCAATCTGCTTTGGCATCTTTGTCTTGCTGCCCCTGGGTTTGTTGGGAGCCAAGGGGCTGCAGAAGGCGTTGTACAGGGGGCCATGTCCCTGGATCAGCGTCCTGTGGGTCTGGTTCGTTTTCTGGTGGCCTCACGGGGTCGTTCTGGGATTCGACTCCCTGGTGAGGTCCAAGGTCCTGCTGCTGCCAACGTGTCTGGCTCAGCAGGTCCTGGACCTGGCCCTGCACCTGGCAGAAGCCCTGGCCATACTGCACTGTGCCGTGTCTCCCCTGCTCGTGGCCCTGTTCTGCCACAAGGCCACCCACGCCTCCTTGCCCTCCCTGCCCCTTCCTGCAAGACGGTCTTCTCATCTGGACACTTTTGAAAGCAAATCCTCCCTCCCTTCCCACCTGTCAGCCTGAATTAAAGTTTACCCGGCTTTTAGGAAGTGAGTAGTTTCTGATTTTTGTCTGGGGATGAAGAGGAGAGGACGGAGAAGGGAGAGAGAGGAGGACATTTCCTGCCAGATTTTCCTGGCAGCATCTGTTTCGCAAGCCGGCCTGGGGAGAAAGGGAATGAGGTCTGAACATCCGCGGGACACACACCTGTCTTCTTGAGGTGTGAGGCTCCTGCCTTCTCAAGGGGGAAGAGAGGAGAAACAGGAGCACGAGGGGAGCAGATGAGCCCTGGAAACGAGAAGACACGCTTAATAGGTAAACAAAGAAAAGAAGCTCGTGCAGAGAGCAAAGGGGATAGGAAGAAAAAGTGGAAAAAGCCAGGAGCGGTGGCCCATGCCTGCAATCCCATCTACTAGGGAGGCTGAGGCAGGAGGATCACAGTTTGAGGCCAGCCTCTGCAACTTAGTGAGATCCTGTTTCAACAAACAAATGAACAAAAAACTAAAAAGGACTGGGGATGTAGCTCAGTGGTAAAAGGGCCCCTGGTTTAAAAAAAAATGATAGAAACGGAGAGAAGAACAACAATAAAGCCAGAGGTATATTTCCTCTTTCCTGTTCACCATGTGTAGACTCCCCCTCTGTCTTTTATCTCCTCTCTGACTTTTGTTTAGAGACCAGGGCAGGAGGGGAAGGAGGGAGAAGTATCCTCAGAGACATTCCTCAGTCCAGGGTGAAGTTTATTCTTGATTCCTCTGTGTGTGTGTGTGTGTGTGTGTGTGTGTGTGTGGTGTACACGTCCGTCCGTGTCTCAGTCTGTTAGAACCTAAATGCGTTTTCGATGGTGCCTGTGTGTAATGACACATTTCTTTACATGTGCTTGTGGGTGGGCCGGGATCTGAACCCCATGTCCCCGTATAAGTGCACAGACTTCTCCAGGGTCCCTGTCCCCTCTTACTTCTGTGACCATCCCCATTCTCAGGGAACGGAAGCAGGTTGGGAGGATTTACTCCTTAAACAAATGAATTACCCAGTTTGTTTGTTTGTTTGTTTGTTTTCTGGTGTAGAGGGAGGAAAAATCCAGAAGTCATGAAGAACGGAGAAACTTAAAAGGGGAGGCCCTAATCTGATTCATCTATTTGGAATCCCCTAGAATTTCCCTTTCAATCCCCAGTTACCGAATTAACGTTTCTTTCCCACACAAACCTTTCCTCCTGCTTCCCACACAATACCCCAAAGTACGAAGCCCTCTCTCTCCCAGGTATGCCCCTGATCCTCTGGCTGTTTAAATATGACCTTGGAAGCTTCTGCTTACACGGTATCCGGCCAAGTTTAGGTGACGATTGGAAGGGAAGCAAGTCCCTCTTCATATGGGGGCACAACCTCCATTGCCAACAAATTCACCTCTTCCCAGAAAAGCCACAAAGACCTCCCGCCACCCACAACCCAACTGAAGGCTGGCCACACCTGAGCAGGGCCCTCCCGTCTGTCTGAGCCTAGTTACCATCTTTCCATTTGTTCCCCAGAACAGGCCCTGCCTAGTTGTTCCCTGTTTTCTGCTTGACTCTGGGTCTGGGGATAAGTAGGAGGTAAGGGAGGGGCAGCAGAGAGAACGGAGAACATGTCGGGCAGGAGGGTCCAGAAGGCCCAGGGAATTGTCCTGGGTGGGTGCTGTGACAAGGCCTCTCAATCTCCCACCTCTGGTCTCTTAGCAACCGCCAGGTTTAGCTCCCGATTGGTGCAGCCCAAATTGAGAGGCGGGATCTGGGGGACCGCTGGAGACGCGGGGGACATTCCGAAACAGAGAGACAAGAGAGAGAGAGAGAGAAACGAAGAAAAAGGAAATAGTTTACAAAGCGAGATTTTTGCTCAGGGATATTCACCACCGTCGGTGAATCTGTCCTGGTTATTTTTTTGGTTTTTCTCCTATTCCCTTTCCAGCCTCCTTGCAAAACCGCCCCCCCCTCTGTCACCCCTGACCACTCACTCTCTCAGTCCTGCCAGATGTTGCCCTCCTCCCTGACCAGGGACCGGATTGGAAAGGCTGACCTAGTTTGAGGGGAAGGAGAGGCTGTTTTGGATTTCCAGAAGTTTCCAGCCTTAACCTGATGTGAGGAAGGCTTGGTTTCAGACCACCTCCCCACCCCCAGCCCCACCAGCGCCTACAGACACCAGTCCCTCCTCACTTGCCCAGGTAGAGAGAGCCCAGACTCTTGGGGAGCAGCTTATCAGCTATTGCATCCCTCACCAAAGAAAGGCAGGAGCAGAAGCCGGCCACTGATAAGAGGTCAGAGTGGGTTGGAGACTGGCGTCCCCACGGTTATCTGCCCCTCATTCCCACCCCTGCTGGCCTTGCCCTGGTCCCTTCAGAGGCTGCCCTTTCCCTGCCATTATCTATCTATCCTTCTGGATGGTTCTTTCTTACATCCAACTCTGACCTCAGCCATTTCTTTAAAGCTTTCCGCGGGGACCGGCTGCCCCTGTCCATTTAACTCACTGCATGCCACGGGCCACTCTGAAATTGGTCTGAACCTGGCCTCTCTTCTGCCACTCTTCAGGAATACAAATCCTGTTTCCTTAGAACTCTGAAGAATCTCATCTGAGGGTTGGCAGGGACTTTAGCGGTGTGTGAGTTATGGGGCCTCCTGGCTAAGCAAAAAGAAAAATCCTCTCAGAGAGATGAGAGCCGTGGAGGCTAGCTCTGGGGAGCACACAAAGCCCCCGGGAGGGTCAATTTGCATTAAGGAAAGGGACTTGTTTCTGGAGGGAAGTTTGAAAATCATGTCGAGGCTCGTAATTCATGTGTTTCAGGCTGGGGCCGCTCCTGGAGGATCCAGGAAACGAATGCCTGGTCCTCACACCTTTTTATCCACCTTTATTTCCCTGTCCTCCATCCCCACCACCGCTGTCTTGCTGCAGCCACTCCCAGAGGGATTCTGATTGAGAACTTCACTGGGATTTCAGACCCAATTCATCGCCAACTCTAATTGCCAGGGATTTGCATGAAAACCGTCGTATGCTATCTAATTATTCTGACAACCGCAGCCCGCCGTCTGGGCACAAGGAGAATCGCGGTTTTAATTAACAATAATGCACCTTGCAGATGAATGTGACTGTTTAGGTTAATTAACAAGTCCAAGTCCTTCCAAATCATCTCCAGACATCTAGGTGATTTGGGCAGGAGGGGTGTGGGGCACACAGTGGGGTAAGGAGTATTGAGAAATCAGTTCAGCAAAAATGTCTGTTAGCTGTCATCTCTCCCTCAACAATTGGAGACAGGAAAGAGGGACTCTCCAAGGGGTGGCCTCTGGATAATTGGTTTAGAAGAATTTGGTGCCAACACTTTAGGGGGATACATCAGGTATCCTTGTATTTATTGCACTTAGTTTTAGGGCATCTTTTAGATGCACTTTTATTATAATTCTCAAATACCTATAATTCACTGTCTGGTCATTTGCAAACTTGGTTTCTAGCATTAACATCAGCACGTCTGTATCCTGCCATTTCTCCCCTCCCATCTCCGGGGGCACTTAAAGTTGCCTGCCCCTCAAGATTTCTAGGATGATGTCTCAGGTCCCACCGACCCCAAGGATCATTGTATTTTTTTCCTCCGTAGTTCTCAGTGTCTGAAAGAACTTATCCTATGTAGCTCCAAACTGTATCTTCTGACTTTTTTAGTTTTTCTAATAGCCTGGGCCTTGTCTTCTGTCTTTAAATCAAGTGTGACTACTATTTAGAAGGAAGAAGGGAGAAGGATCATATACCTCTTGGAAAATCTGGTGATAGTTGTCCGGTGTGGTAGTGCATGCTTGCAATACAGTGACTCTGGAGGCTGAGGCAGGAGGATTGTAAGTTCAAGGCCCATCTCAGCAATTTAGGGAGATCCTGTGTCAAAATAGAAAATAAAAATAAAAATGGGTTGGGGATGTAGCCCAGTGATAGAGCATCCCCAGTTCAGCCTCCAATAATTAACACACACAGGGAGAGAGAGAGAGAGAGAGAGAGAGAGAGAGAGAGAGAAGAAGCAAAATTTGGCATTTAGTTCCTCCCTACTATACTTAAAGGTAATCTCAAGTGCTTTGCTCTCTCTCTCATAGGACTTCCACAATCAGCTCATGGCTCTTGCTCACTAAGCTTTATGCCTGGTGGAGACTTTTTGGTCTCACAAATGGACAAATTTGTTCTCTGTTCTAAGAGTCTTTGCACATGACACCTCTTCAATCCAGAACTCTCTTTCTTGTGCCTTCTGTGTGAGTTGCATGGTGTCTCAGTGCAAATCTCAAGTCCTCAAAGATGGAATGTGGCCCCGGTCACCTTGTGCATCCACGTATTCCCTACCGACGTGCTCAGGTGGTGTCCTTTGCAGCAGGCACTCCTGTTAGAATCTGTCTTGTTCGTTCCTTTATCGGCTCCCTGATTCACTGTTTGCCTTCACCACTAGAGCGTAAGCTGCATGAGAACAAGACCCTTTTCTCTTTTGTGGCTGGTGCGTAGTCAGAGTTCAGTAAACGTGGGATAAATATATGAATGAACTGACTCCCTGTGAGTAAAGCACGGCACCACCTGCTAGAAGGGCCCCCGTCCAGTGGGGAACAGGAACAAGCAAGCAAATAACTGGTGCAGAAAAATGTTGGAAAGTGACTTTCTTCCCCTAAGTCCTCTAGGGCACCTCTCTCTCATGTCATTCAGTCGTTCAGGGCAGAAAAGCCTGAAGGACTGTCAGGACAAGGTTTCTGGCCCATGAACCTGCTTTCTGTGTCAATTTATGGCTGGCAGAGCCGGAGGGTGGGGGGTGGGGGGCAGATGGGACTTCCCCACAGTTCCTGAGCATGTGTTGGAGGAAGAGTCCTGGGACAGCAGGGGAAAACTGGGAAGGGCTGTCATGTTTCATCTGTACTTGAGGAAAAATGAGTCACAGGACACTTCCCCAAATTCCAGGAGACTTCTATTGGCCCAGAATCAAATTTAGAGTCCAACCGCCTCCTCGGATTTCATCACGCTCAAAAAGAGAGCCACACTCCCTTGAAACTAAAGGTCATTTCAGTCTCCATGT